ACACACTGTATTGTATATGTATAATTAAAAATATTAAATATTATATAATTACAATATTTTATCTTTGGGAAACTTTTTCACTAGGTTTGTCTAATGCATTATGGGATAGCTGCAATGATGCCTACCTTTTGAAACAGGCTTTGTGTCAATGCGTTAAAATGCTGTCTAGGTAGGCAGCTCACCAGGTTATAGTAGAACTTTGAATGAAGACCATATCTAAATACATGGTACAGGTGAATTAAATTCATAAAAGAGGTTAAAGTGAAAACATGTCTCCCTCTCCGGACTCTCCAGCTAATAAAGGGTGAGCATTAATATTGATGAGCGGCTCATTTGCATGCGGCTCTCGGTCACCCCCAATCCAAGCGGAGAAACCTCGACTGATTTCCTGCCGTAGTTTCCCTTCCATCAGCAGAAACGGAAAGCGAAACAGGCAGAGAGCGAGGGAGAGACTCTCCCCGGGGACAAAAGGGCTGCTACATTAATATTCATTAACATCCTACTGCGTTCAATCTCCACCCCTAAGAGATGGAGGAAAAATAAGCTGAACAAAGAGAAGACAAGGGAGAGGCGGGATTGGATTACTAAAGTAAAGCGCTGACAGAAAAAATCAGCATAGCGCCATTAGGGAACAATGGCAGAGGGCCGGTGCCCAGCTGTGGGACCCAGAGAACGCTGCTCCATCACAGGGAACGGACGCAAGAGCAAACAGGCATTGGAGATCCTAAAGGGTCATCATAGTCAACACTATGTTTTAAAAAATATTAGCTATTGACAGTGCTATGCAGTGTTAATTTCGCTGACGAATAATTTTCGTCATAATTTTCATCAACAACATTTTTTCCACCGACGACAACGAGACGATAACGAACTAAAACTCTTTTTGAATGACAAAAACTATAACGAAAATCTATTGACATTTTCGTCAACTAATAAATACGAGACGAAAATGTTAGGGAGGGACGATTTGGGAAGAGATTCATTCAGAACGAATCTGCTGCATGGTTTGGAGGTTAGATGCATACATATGAACCGGCGGGACATAAGCTAAAATACACTTACGTCTCATAAAACATTCAAAAATGTCAATATGTGGGAGTAAGAAAAGAGCAGACATATAGATAAATCTGACGACGCAAGAGAGAACTCAATTCGGTCCGGTTTTCTGAGCGCAGACACTGAAGCACACACACACAGAAAGCGCGTCTCACAGCGCGCGAGTACTCTTAAGCGTCGCATGAACGGAGAATTACACACAAAATGATGTTCTAAAACTAAATGGCATTTTAGTCAAAAGACTATGACTAAAACGAAATCAAAATTTGCTGTCAAAATGAACACTGGTGCTATGACAATGTCCATAACTAAACACTGAAGGACGAATGCTGAAGCTAATAGCGGGTGTTTTATGGGCCGCTTTTGAATGCAAATAAATTCACGATGTGCTTGGCTTGCTCCAGAGGGAGAACTAAAATGCTGGCGTGGTTTTAAACAGACTTACCCCAAGCGAAACCTAATATCAGAGCCACATACCAGTGCTACCCCTGCTCATCAGGCTCGGGTTTCAGCAGCCATTCGCAAAATCTTATTTAAAAGATTCTGGAAGCAAAATAGCATGAATGTACTACCTGACTAAAATATGCCGAATTTTATTTAAAAAATGCATTAAATGCAGAGATGCATTATAAATTGATCAAAAGTGACAGTAAAGTCGTTTACTTAAATAAATGCATACATAAATGCTGCTCTTATGAACGTTCAATTAATCAAAAATATTCCATGGTTTCCAGAAAAATACAACTGTTTTCAACATATAATACAGATAATAATCAGAAATGTTTAATGAGCAGCAAATCAGCATATTAGAATGATTTCTGAAGGATCATGTGACACTGAAGACTGGAGTAATGATGCTGAAAATTCAGCTTTGCACTACAGAAATAAATTTCATTTTAAAATATATTAAAATAGAAAACAGTTATTTAAAATTGTAATAATATTTCACAATACTGTATTTACTGTATTTTTGATCAAATAAATGCAGCCTTGGTGAGGAGAAGAGATTTCTCGCACCAACGAAATATATATAATACATAAATATATAAACGTATATAAAATCATGAATTATATTTATATTCAAATATAAAATATATTTGCATTTTGTAGACAAATATAAATTGTCTATGAATTTCTTCATAAATCTTAATAAATCTCATTAAAAATAAACTGGATTAGCTGCAGTGTTTTTTTAGTAACGTTGATATACTATTATAGTTATTATTAATATTTTTAATTTATTTATTTTTATTTTCTGCTTTAACTTTAAGTTTAGTAAAAATCTAGTAATTGTATTGTGTTTTCTTAATTTTTAAATATGTCTATATAGTTTATTATTTTTTATTAGTTTTAGTTTAGTTATTTTAGTACTTCAAATTAAACTAAACGAAAATGAGAAATGCTGCCCAGGCAATAGCTAAAATAAAATACATTTTTAAATATTTTATTTCAGTTAATTTGTTTTTTTTTCAAGTAACAAAAATATTCTATTTGTTCCAAGTATGCATCATTTCCATGTGTGTTATTTCATGACAATTATTCTAAAATGTGCTCTAAAAAGAATTTAAAAAACAAACATGCTACACCTGGGCTAAGTTAAGCGGGGCTGGTGCATCTGGTCTCAGATTACTGGACAGAGCGAGGCTGCGCAGACATGGAAATCAGCTCAGTGCTGGAACGTTCTGACACTGAGGCACGCAAGCTGAATTACATCTCTCAGGTCAGGCATTAAGAGCTTTACGCTGATATCAGTGTGCAGATGCTGAGGAAAGAGGCGCTTTTTCCTTCACATCAATCTCACACATGCACATCCCTATCAGTTGATCGCATTAGTCACCAAATACCATCTCCAGCACAAAAACACAATATAAATCAGTGAATCTTCAAAAAACATCGCACTAGACTAGTATGAGTTATGAACTAGAATAGCAGTGCAGCAAACACTGTGTGTGGGCTTGCATGTGTGTCACCTGCTAACAATTTACTCCACACAAACCATGTGACTTTGACAGAAAAAAGCACACAATATGTGTGTGGAGTAAGTGTGTGTCAGACACAGATGGTACGAGAGAAAGAAAGAGAAAAAATGAAGTGTATATGTGTGAACGAGAATGCATGGGCATATGTGAGAGTGTAAGAAGACGGTGTTCAGAAGAGCATCCCAATCTTACTATTCCTGCAGTATATACAGTGGGTATAGAAAAGAATCAGCCACCTTCAAAAGAATCACATTTTGTTGCTTTGCAACCTGAAATGAAGACAGACTAAGGCCCCGTCCACACGGAGACACGTTTAGCTGTATACGCATACATTTTGTATCGTATAGGCATCTCGTCCACACGGATCCGGCGTTTTGGGAGAGTGAAACATGCCGCCCTTGCGTTTTCGTGTGGACAGCGAATCCGTATATTTTCTGAAACGATGCCGTCATCAGCCACCGCTACGTCATGTAACAGCAACAAAAACACGAACAAACACTGAACGATTGTCCTTTTATAAACTAACATTAACACAGATTAATAAATGTATTGTTCCATGTTCATTTGTATACCGCGCGCAAGGTTTATGTGCATAGTCCAAGTATTCTTCTCCATTTTTAGTGTATCTCTGTGGCAGAATTACAGCGCCACATGCTGGTCTGGCATGTATACTACATCGTTTTGTGTCGGTTTTGTGGTTTCGTGTGGACGCAGATATTTCTTGAGACGAGGGGAAAAAAAAGATCGGATAGGGAAAGCTCTGGCTTCGTGTGGACGTAGCCTCAGATTTTGTTCTATCCAGCTGGATTTACTCAGCGCAACTTGAAAAATGGATCATCCCCCTCTTAAAAATGACTTGTAAACTCAATCAGGTGTAGCTAATCACCTTCTCAGTGGCACACAAAGCCATTTGAGTTTCAACTGTGATCAGCTGTGCTCATTTGGATCAACTCAGCATGAAAAGAGCTTTCCTGGAGCATTTCAGTCCTTGCTAGTGCAACTGAAGCAAACAATCAAAATATCTCTGGGATAAAGTTGTGGACAGGCACAAGTCAGGAGATTGATACAAAAAAAATTCAAAGGCTTTATCAATTCACTGCAGAGGATCAACAGATGAGCAAGTGATGCAATGCTACACTTCTACAAATCTGTTCTTATGAAGAAACTAACTCCTCTACATCTTGGATGACCTGAGGGTGCGTACATTTTCAGCAATTTTTTGGGTGAACTATTCCTTTAATGTCTCTTTCCTGGCTCAACATTTGATTTAAAATGCCAAAAAATGACTTTTTCCACAAAATCAGATCTAAAATGCAATTTTTGATATAACTGTAAGACACTTGCTGAATTAAACATGCAATAATGAAATCATGTGACCGCAATGCAGCATAAGACTGTTTGCAAGGTTTACTGTTGCATAATGTCACATTTATATATTTGTAAAACACTGTAGGAAGTATAAAGGACATGCTTAAATAAAAATAGTAAGCCAGTTTTCTATTGCAAACAAAGCCTGAGTGCAGGGTTCAGACACAGTGCCATGTCACCTGGTTACTCCAGGGGCTTCCTGTCTGAGATATTAATGTCTAACCATCTGTTTATATCATAAACAAGGTGAAAGGAAGATACATCCAAGGACAACAAGCCAAGAAGTATGCGGCAGAACGAGAGCATGACAAAAGCACGACTCTCGCCCGAGCAACTCCATTTCTAATGCACTGTGCCCTGAGAAAGACAAAACTTCCATTTTCTAGGTGAACTATTTCTTTGAGACAACGCCTTATTAAAAAACATAACTCTGCTCTTATTTTCAGCCATAAAAACCCTGTCAGTATTGATACAGTTCACCCAGTGGTGCCACTTAAAATCTGCAATTTTCTTTTAATTATGCACTTCCTCTTTAAATAAACATGCATGCAAATTGATGCTTTACAAATGTATTAGTCAAGTGAATCATCACAAAAGGCCAAGAATAACAAGTCAGGGCAATGCCATTTTAGTAACATTTGATATACTATTATAGTTTTTGTTAATATAAAAAATTATCATAAAATATTGATTTTATTTGTTTTCTCACATTTTAGTTGGTTTTAGTAATTGTTGTTTTTGTCTTTTTTAAAAAAATGTTATTTAGTTTGTTATTTTAGCACTTTCAGTTAAACTAAACAAAAATTAGATGCTGTCTTAGCAACTACCTGAAAAAAAAACAGCTAGTTTTTTTTAATGTTTTTTTTTATGGTTTTAGTTTAACTATAACAATAACCCTAAACCTCAGTCTCTAAAGTCTATGAGTTGTCTTTGCATTTCTTCAACAAAAAACCTACAGGCTTAAACTCCAGGCTCGTCTAACAAAACATTAAATTTAATTGGAAATAAAACTGGGGCAAGAAGGCGTGAGGACCTTAAAATGCTGCACATGCAGGCAGCTCACTAGATTTTCGAGTCCCTGATTCACATGAACTAGTGAGTGCAATGAGACACACCCTGACTGAGGCTTTTATAGGCTTCAGACAAGCCGTCACCATGACGACCTCCAATTATTTACTTCCTTTTCTTCAGCGCAGTAATGTAAAATACACAACTGCAATGCAACACAAATGCAACGCTCTGCCTTTTATGCATTCATTGTTCATGATATTATTTTCATTACAACAGTGCATTTTCTCAAATTCTACCAAAACAAATCCAGATGTTTAAAGATTTTATTAATGATTAATAATGTTCCTGTGGCTCAGTGGTAGAGTATTGCGTTAGCAGCGCAAAGTTCGTGGGTTCAATTCCCAGGGAACACATACTGATAAAAAAATGTATAGCCTGAATGCACTGCATCGGCCAATTTTTTTTGCATTTTTTTAATTAATCGGCATCGGCCGATTGTGCTGCAAATTAGACCGATTTATAGGCAGGCGCACTGGTGGGCAGCTAAGCATTGTTGCGGAACTCCCTCTGGCTGCGTGAGACGGAGCAACTCAAGCTCTGCAGGCTGCAGCCGTGGCTTGTTCACACACAGCCTCAGCTAATGGCAGGGTAAAACAGACCGTTTCGAAAGCAGGATTACGTTTTACCTTACTAGAATTGATGCCGGAAAGTTATATTCATAAGTGCAACAAGTAATTTGCGTGTGAAAGTAGAAACGCGTTCAATTCAGATGAAACTTCTGGGCTGATTATAACGTGCACGTTAACTTTCCTCATGAAATGTGTCTGTGGGTCCGACAATAGCCTCCACGATATCATATATTCGCTCCTTCAGAACTGTTTTGAGAAGGTGCTTAAGTTTTGAGCCATGTATTATTACTCTAAATTGGGCTACTACTACCATTACTATCTTGTACCATGCAATAATCATTTACTCAAACTCACTTTTATGAGATGAATGAAGAAAAAAAAATCGGCCAAAAAAAACGGCATCATATATCGGCCATCGGCTGCCCTGATTTCTAAATATCGGCATCGGCCAGTGGAAAAACCCATATCAGTCAACCTCTAGTCACAATGCAAAATATCTTGATCACAATTTTCTTTATAGAACAAATAATTTCTAAAATAATTTGTAATGCCAGAAAAAGAAATCGTAATTGTGCATTATGATATTATTTTCATTACATCTGAGTGCATTTTATCCCAAATTCTAGCAAAATGAATCCGTTTTATTTATTTTTTTTTATTCCTATTATTTGCAATAGAGATTTTAATAGAGATTAATAATTTTTTTAAAATAATTCCCAGTAATATTTAAATCTGCATAAATTAAAGGCTGATGTATACATATATATATATATATATTAGTATCATTATGATATTATTTTCATTACATCTGAGTGCATTTTATCCCAAATTCTAGCAAAATGAATCCGTTTTATTTATTTTTTTTTATTCCTATTATTTGCAATAGAGATTTTAATAGAGATTAATAATTTTTTTTAAATAATTCCCAGTAATATTTAAATCTGCATAAATTAAAGGCTGATGTATACATATATATATATATATATATTAGTATACATCAGCCTTTAATTTATGCACCATAATGCAAAATATCTTGATAATCTAGAAGACTTCATTTACTTTATAGAAAAACAAAATTTCTAATATAATTTGCTTGCTGTTGATTTTAGTGGTGAAATGTGATCTGGACATGTTCCTGACTGGCTCCTGTTTGTCTTTCAACCAGTCAGCCGGCTCGTCTGGATGCTGCACCTGTACAGGTGTGTCCTCACACTCTCAGGAATCTGCCTCTGACATCACAGTCTGCTGACGTCACATGACTCGTGAAGCGTGTCAGACGGATCTCACTGCAGGTGACAAGAGGAACAGGTGTGTGCAGGTGTGTTCTTACCTTTGCCATCTGAGCCTGAACTCCGCTGGTCTTCAGAGCGCTGACGGCTTTCTGAGCAGCAGCAGGGCTGTCAAAGTCTACAAAGCCATAGCCTGAGAGAAAGACATGCACAACATGAGCTGTGATACAGCTTTAAAGAGACGGCGCACACAGTTTTAATAATCGCCACATCGCGTCTGCACTATAAGTGAGCTGCACAGTTGACACAGGAATTGTCACTTGCACAAACGAGGCAGTGTCGCATCGTCACTAAAGTTTATAATTTGCATTTCTTTTTAAGCCTTGCCAGTGTTTAAACGGTGGCTCATGCACTCTCAGAGCGCCGCTCACATAAGACCACCTCACATTCGGCTCACAAACTCAGGCTTGTGCTGTGTGTAAGCTATGGTGCAACAATTGCCACATTGTTAAAACAAAAATGCACTGCATTATCAAACATTTAGGTGAGAATCATATATTTTTGAAAAAAATATCACCTCACAAGAGTCATCTAAGAGGGGATTTCCCCCCCATTTTCAAAAATGAAGTTCAGGCCCTGAATGAATGTCTGTAAAAATCCCAATTGGAACATCACTATAAATAATTCTACATGACGAAAAGATGACTTCAAAAAGATCGGTATCAGTGATCGTATCGGCAGATACTGCTACCTGTGATCGGTAGGGTTGGGTATCGAAAACCGGTTCCAAATTTCCAATAATCGGGTATTCGATAAGACATGTGCATTTCGAGCGGGGCATAGAGGAGAAACAATAATGTACAGTATGTGGAAAATAATGTGTTTTTTTAACCTTAAACCGCCTAAACACATTTCATTACATCAAATACACAAAATAATGTTCTTTTTAGCAACATAATATGACCCCTTTAATCAAAGAACAAAAGAAAATCATTAACTGACTGAATATCTTTCGTAAATTTAATGAGGATTAATCAATATTTTATTTATGAAAAGAAAACTATACAGTGTTTCTAAACTTTTGATTTCAATTTCTGTACCTGACATTTGTTCCGTTTTATTTATTTATGCTATTGCGAATTAATTGGTTTACTTGTCTTTAACAATTTAATGTTTGAAATTTATATTAGCTTTTTTTTCTGTGGTATTTTTTTGATAAAACCATAGACATAAAACAGAATAAATATGTTTGACATCTAAATATTTGACTTAAAAAAAATCCATTAAACAAATTGTATCTTATTGGAATCGGAATTAGGAATCGATAAGAATCTGAATCGATAAGCAGAACCGGAATCAGAATCGATAAAATTCAAACGATACCCAACCCTAGTGATCGGCGATCAGTGATCAGCTCAAAAATCCCGATCAGAGCACCCTTACAAAATTTAAAGGAATTTCACGCAACAACAAATGGCGTAATTTACAAAAAAATACAATTTACCAGAAAATAAAGATGCAAGGCTCAAAAGATCTTAAATGATACTATCTAATGGATACACTGATGTTTTTTTTGATGCACACAGAACCGTGTATTGGGTAAAAACACTTTAAGGGCCGCAGCAGGAAGCAAAGCACTGCTTGTAGAAGTGTGCTGTGTGTCATATATCAAGAGAAGCGCTGCACTATCAGTGTTTGCTTCCTCTAATGAGAACAATTAAATGGACACGAGGAAGCGGATCCAAGATAAGTCCTTGCGTTCAGCTCCACCCTTCACTCCTCTGCTGTAACTGCTGCTATATTTAATCAGCCAACAGGTCAAACCACAAACACAGATCATCCTGATTAATAGCTCAAATATATGTGACAAAGAAACGCATATGATCCATCCGCACAACTAATAATGATAGTCTTTTGATAATATATTGTATATGGATTTGCTCTGAGAGTAGAACCATCATTGCAACCAAATACTGTATAAAATACATTTATATTTACCAATATAACAATATACAGAAACGAACATTTTCCTACACATCCTAAACATTTTAATATATGAAAAATGGAGAGTGCTGTTGAGTGATTCATTGAATCAGATTCACTGAAATGGACACTTTGGAAAATTAACCCTATAAAGTCTATTGTATAATGAATTTTTAAGGCCTCTAAATGATCAACATGATCAACTTTGCTGAATAAAACATTGCACACAATCTTTCTTTCATCATCTGATTGACTTGTGCTTTACATGTCATTTTCCTGTGACATCTTTAATGATTTTTATTAAGTAAACATAAGAATATCTTTCATGTTTGTACACTCTAAAAAATGCTGGGTTGTTTCAACCCAACTTTGGGGCAAATATGGACTAACCCAAAGTTTGGGTTAAAACTAGGGCTGGGAAATTAATCGTAATGATTTTTATTAAGTAAACATAAGAATATCTTTCATGTTTGTACACTCTAAAAAATGCTGGGTTGTTTCAACCCAACTTTGGGGCAAATATGGACTAACCCAAAGTTTGGGTTAAAACTAGGGCTGGGCAATTAATCGAAATCGTCATAAAATCACGATTTGTGCTAGTGCGATTTCTAAATCGCTTTATAGCTGTTGTGTTTGTGTTAAACAGCCGTGGATCAGGAGCGGACTGCAAACGTGTCCTGTGCGAAAGCAAATGAGTCCGTGCTGCTTCTGCACCGCATACACATACTGTATACGCACTGCAGACGGAGTACGTGTGAACTTGGCGCAACAAATCTAGTTCAGCATCTGAGGCAACGCCACAAAGAGCTCTATGACCAACGCATGGCAAAAAAAAAATCCCTGGACACAGGATTTTTTCTTTTCTGCCATATGTCTGTTCTAGAGACATGTTACAGCTTCTTGATAAAGCTATAATTGGTTTTCTTTTGGAAATATGTTTCAAATTCACACTGAATACATTAATGACTAAAGCATGTCTGTGTGTGTCAAAATCATGATTAAAATCGAAATCGCAAAATTGATCAAAGAAATCGCGATAGGTTTTTTTGTCCATATGGCACAGCCCTAGTTAAAACTTTAATCTAAAAATTTAACCCAAAAGCTGGGTTAGTCCATATTTGACCCAACATTGGGTTGAAACAACCCAGCATTTTTTAGAGTGTAACATTTCAAGATGAACACTTACTGGACTGAAGTCATTTTTACTTGATTGCCCATCATTGTATTTTTTTTTTAGAAAAATCCTGTTCAAATGCGAGTATCAAATATGATCTTTAGGCTTTTGAGGAATGTTTATTTGTTCATGTCTCAATCATCATTGTATTGCATTGCATTATGTTTTGATCATAAAACTAAGCATTGAAATATCATCTTGCTAAAACATGTTATAGGGAGATAAAATGATGTTAATATCAATCGTCACTCTTTATGTAAGTGTCTGCTATGCTTTTATAAAGATCTCACTGATTTACATTACAAGCATTAGAATTGAATCTTAACTTTAGTCCATATAAATATCAGCATCTGCACCAAATTGCATATTTTTGCTCAATTTGGGTCTCTGATTAAAATGTAGGTGTTTTTTTTCCTCCATATTCTCACTATATCATACTATATGAGCCATAAAAGCCTGATGTATCAAATATGATACTCAAAAACAAAAGTGCAAACATTCTTTTAATATATTTTGCTATTATTTCTACTATTATTTCAAGTATTTGTTGACATTGTTAACCAGACTCAACCAACTTAACTGTAAAACTAGTCTAAACTAGAATCATTAGTCAAATAAAAAGCTTATTTTTACATTTCCGGCAAAATCACGTTGTAACTATACAATATATACAGTCTCGCCCAGCTTAGTCTTGAGCAGTTTGACGTGAAAGGGAAAGTCAGGCTCTGCTGGTTAAACTATGTGTTGGGTCAGTCGCTCAGTCACATTTAGATCATTTGCATTCGTGCATCACCGTGATACTCTGGGTTAATATTTTCCATCCGGCTTCTTTAAATTCGGCTGGGTTGAAAGCGGCCTGACTGATATTATTCAGCACATAAATAATCCACAGCGCTGTGACTAAGCCACAAGCTCCGGGGCAGTCGTGCCCTCGAGGTGGCAAACCAGGAACGGAGCCAGATCCTGGACTACAGCGGCCTGGAACAAACCCCAGAGGCCTCAGTCAAGACAGCGAGGCCAGGACAGGAATAACAGCGAGGGGTCTGGGAAGCAGCGACAGACTGACTGGGTGTCTGTTTCCTGATACACCAACGCCAGCATAGCAGCACAATGACGCAAAGCAGGGCGTGCAAACACACACACACACACACACACACACCAATGCATGCATAAACACTCACACAACACATAAGTGTGCTTACAGATGAGAAACTTGTATTTGCACGCACATACTATATCGCAATGCTTTTGATGCCAATATATGGAAGCCTGTTTCTGCCACGATGAAAAATATTGACTTTTTATCTCGCAATTCTGACCTTCTTTCCCACAATTCTGACTTTGATTCTCATGATTTCAAGTTTAAATCTCTTAAATGCATGTTACAAACTCACAATTGTAACTTTATATCTCGCAATTATAACTTTATATTTTGCAAATCTGATTTTTTTTTTCTCAGATTTGCAAGATAAAAAGTTACAATTACCATTTTTATCCCGTGGTGGAAACAAGCTTCCATAAATATAAAACAAGGCAACACTGAAATGTAATATATTGTGTAATATATTATATTTTTAAGATTTTTTTTTTTTTTGTACATTAAAGTGTAGAAAACACACCTTAATGTATTTTAGTCTTGAATCTTGAATATAACTGACTACAATGGCTGTTTGGTTGAAATGCTGTTTTTTTCTGATATATATCACTCCTTTAAGGTATTTCAGAGGAAATAAATGAATATCGAGATATACTGAAGATTATCAAATGGCTGATTTTTTTTTTT